AAATTGAAATAAACAGGGACTTATTCGCTAATCTCGACTCAACAAGAGAAACAAGGGAGCCTCATTGTTTCCTTTTTAACCATGTACAATCTTGTTTGGTATTTGTAAATCAAGTAGGTACTTCTGCAGTCTTCTGGCATTCATTAGTAACGGAGATTGATCGAATGACTTCACTAAAACAGAATTATAAGTCCGATGATGTCTGGTCCAAAATCCACACAACAGTGAATCTTACAACTTATAAGCTTAGATAAGTTGGGAATTACCCTTTCTCGTTGCGAATGCAGAATGGGAAGAGTCTTGAACAGATGGATCTCAGAATTCACATATCCAATTTTTAAATTAACAAATTTAACTGTTATATGTGCTTGGTTTAAAATGGCACAAAGTACAGAACAAAGTAACACATATACAGAAGGGTGCAACACGAACATGGAACCTATATCATACGCCTACACATCTATTAACAAAAACTCGTAAAAGCATCATCCCCGAAACCCATTACTCGTTATGCCAAAAGCCAACAATTTCGACAATAAAAACCAAATGTTGCATAATCAATCAAAACCCGAGTCTTGAAGCTCCTTCTTTGTGAAGCTTCACATACCAGAAGTATCAGGTGTCAAAGCCAGTGAGTTGAAGTCTATTTGTCTGGCTATCAGGAGAAGAGAAAGAATCAATGAACTCAAACCTAAATGTGATTGTGAAACTTCAAACGACAACAGTTTGACCGGTAAGACCATCTTGAAGCTGCAGAGAGCCATCTTTCATGAGATTAAGGCTCAAGCTCTTGAACCTCTCTCTTGAGTACTGACGGGATGCCTTTCTCCAATCCGTCCCAGTTTTCATCATTGCAACGAACTCCTCGTAATCGATTCGTCCATCCTGAGAGAAAGCGATTATGAGGGATAAGATATGAGTAAACATTTTATAACTTTTAACTTTCCACAGGTTTATACTAAACCAAATTCAACCATCATATGTGCGATGATTGTAATGAATAGTAGAAGGAGAATAGATTGACAAGAGAAAGATTTCAAAAGGATTGCATCTAACCTTATTTGTATCAACTTCTCGCATAATGTCATTGAGTACATCTCCATCAGTTTCACCAGATTCATCGGCTAAAGCTTCTCGAAGTTCATCAATCTCGATATACCCACTTCCATCTATATCAAAGAACATAAATGCTCTACGAAAGTGCTCGTCATTCTCCATTCTCTGCAAGTGGATTGTTACTGCAACAAACTCCCCATAGTCCAAGACTCCATTTCCATCAACATCAGCCTATTAATCATTCACATTGCAATCTTCATCAGTAAAAATTAGAGATAAAATCTGAAAATTCTGCATATAACTAAATCTCTAACAACAACAACATAAATAAATAAACTCCACGAGTAAATAGGCTATTTACTGTGACAACTTTGAAAAGAATATGGAAGCAAATGACAACAAAAAATGAGAGCTGGAATGTTTAACATAAGGCAGAGTTGACTTGACTGGAGTTAAGGATGCTATCGATGGCGTTGGGCTCATTCCTATATAAAAGGCCAAAATCTTGCAATGTGCATGAATGAAATCGAAGTTTACACAAAATACACTCCATACAGCAGTAATTCAATTCAAATTTGATTTCATTTCCCAGCCATATGAATATTGTGTTCTTGTTCAAGTATATATTCAACAGTTAAATCTTGGAAAATAAAGCAAAGAAACATAACACCAACAACATCCAAAGTTTCCTAGAATGGTTACAAAGGATCAATGAAATGTCAAATTTTAATTAATTAAGTTCCTTTATTATGCTTCACATAGAAGTTCTACTAAAATATCGAATAAATATCATGCAATGCAGTCTTTGATATTTAGAAGTGTACTGGTTTTGCAGATATTGAAATGAGAAGAAAACAAAGATTTTTGACAGCGACATGACAAAAAGAGAAGGAATTGTAAAGAACTGGGAAGAGATAGAAAGCATAAGAACGAGAAAGAAGAAGAAATAGAGAATTGGGAGAGAAACATCACAGGTTGAATATCAACAAATCAGTTGTCTACATTATTCAGAAAAATAGACCAATTTACAGTTGAAACTCCCTAGGGAAATGGGAAGTTGCCAAAAAAACAAAACGGAAAATATTTACTGGAAGAAAGTAAATCAAAAAATATGCTCTCGATTTTTTGCCTACAGTAAGTTCTCTCCACCAAATCATCAAAAATTGTTGAACAGACCAAAAATCCTGAGCAGCAGAATCTCTAAATACAAAACATTCGAGGTGCCTCAGTTAAAAATCAATTAAGAACTTAACAAGAAAATCCAGGGGGGAGAATTTACATATAGTTCTTGTTGGGGATAGCTTATTAAGTAGCTAAAACACTGAGGTCAAAGTCAATAACACACATTTTATGGAACCCACATCTTTTATCTACTTTTCAACCACATATTTCATCCACATGTATTCAGATTTGTTAAAACTTTTATTAAAAACTTTGTCAAACAGCCCCTTAGTATAATCCTCCGAAGAACTTGGACTTGTGATATCATATAGGAGGATAGTAATTTGCAATTAGAAAGATCGAATAGGAGTAGTATAATTAAAGAGAAAGCTGGACAGCATTTAATCAGTAAATAACAACCAGACACCTTCAAACTAATGACAGCGAATTCAACTCCTGTGATTAATCAGAAAATTTAAGATCTATTACAGTCAATAAATCAAAGATTTGACTCGGTCAAAATTAAAACAAGAGAAAGGAAATAAGCATTTAAAACCTGTGCACGTGGTACTACAAGTTTCAACTGCAATCTACCAAACATTGTTGAAAGCTGGGAAAGGACTTCATTAATGTTATTCTTTTATTTGGATAAACAAGACAAATAGAAATAAACACGTAAATGGGGTGGTAAGGTTCATGTGCCCCACCACTCTATAAAAATTCGAGAAGCAAAGGAGTCAAGTCCCTCTCCGGATACTTCACTTTCCCTCATTAATTAGCCCCTGTTTGATGGCCATTATAAAGAGAAATTGGGGGGAAAATGATGTTTTGAATAGTGATTTTTTGGAGAATGTATGGTTAACAAGTAGGAAAATGTTTGGGATTTTACATGCAAAATATTATATTGTGTGAATGTGTGGAATATGAGAAATAAAGATTTTTAATTTAAAGAGAGTCAAATAGGGGCTTAGTAAACGTTAATAGATCCATCATCCATGCAAAATAACCCCAAAAAAAAAGGTTCAAGTTTCAACTCCCAAAGGATAAGGCACGTTAAAGAATCTCAGTGACTCAGAAGTGAAGAATAACAACATAATGTGAAGAGAGACAAGAACATAGAGCAACAGAGTCTCCTCAGTATTAGAAGGTATGGTCACTAAGCTTCACAGTTTATGATGAAACTGCAAAAACATGAGAACAATAACATTTACCACATCCATCAGCAGCTTGATTTCTGGTTCTGCCAGCTGGGAACCAACTTTACGAAGACCAGCTTTCAGTTCCTCGTATGTTACTTTTCCGTCATTGTTAGTATCCATCAACATAAACATATCTCTGATTACTTCTGCCTCTTCAACTGATAAGTGTTCTGCAATTACCTACACAACAATTTAGAGGATAAATAATCATTCAGGTATGATAGCAAAATCAAAGAAGTGACTTTATCCACAGGGGTCTCCTCAACAGTAAACACAGACATGGTCCATCACCTCAAATTTAGTTAACTAGGAGGATTATAATGCGAGATGCTTACCCTCAAAGCTTTTTTCTTGAATCTATTCATAACAGAAAACTGCCTGAGTCTTGCCCTCACAATATCTCCTAAAGGAACATTTGGAGCCTTTTTCGCATTTTGTATCCATGGGTGGTCTATCCAAAAAAAAAATTGAAAGGGACACGTCACTGCAGCTTCATAAAAATACATGCTGAAAAATGAAATCTCCTACCCATTTGCATGAAGTAACAATATATGATATGTGTTATACAGCAGTAGAGAAGATTGATCCACTACCACGTCTCACAGCCCTCTCCGCACTATAAGCCCTGTTTGAGCCACGTTGTTTGAAAAAATTACATTCTTAAACAGTGTTTTGACATTATTTCTACCACACTTTCTTTAATAAAATAATATTATGTGAAAGTCCAAAACTTTTCCTTATTTTTTAACCACACATTTCCCATCAATACACTATTCAAAAATTCATTCTTATGAAAAGAATAGGGGTCAAACAAGGGCTAAATATAATATAACTCAAGCAAACCAATACTGCAATGAACAAAGGTGCCCTGACATAGAAGTCAAAAGATATTTCATGATGTCCAGAGGTCAAATTGCCTCCTTCCTAAATGATCCCAAGCATAAAATTCATGTTTACCCAACTTTATATGTCAACCATTCCAGTTCCCCAGCTTTTTCGCAAAAAGACGGTTCCTCCAATTTATGAGATTAACAGAATTTATCTTAAAATAGTATGATTTGAGAGCATACATTTAAATATTCTCTGGTGTGAATATAACATTGGCAACCAAACGCTGTGGATGTCGAGATGGTGTATTATTTCCTCCAGCAATCATTTCTTAGAAATATATGCAGAGACAGTATGAATAAAACTTCAGCACCACCAATCCCACTCTATGAAGATTTTTCCAAGAATTTATCATTGTTTGTGTGTGTGGGGGGGGGGGGGGGGGGGGGGG